CCCCAGCTAAAAAATGAATGCTCCCTTAAATTCCTCTGTAGTTATTGGGGTCAGTTTTATCTGGTGACTTAAAAATTGGTGTAATGAAACCTTCACACCATTGACTGGGAAATGCCTAATTGTTTCTAAAATTAGGTTAAAATGTTTTTGGTATAATTGAAGTAATATTTTGACACTACATTTTAGCATTTCGTTTTTTATCATGTCAGATTAAGCAGATTTGTTGTTTTTTTGTTGTTTTTTAATTTCTTTGCAGCACTCAAAACTTCTACTTCAGGAATCGGTTCATCTAGAACATTATTTGGGATTTCTTCTTCAAGTTTTGTTAATTTTTGTAAAATATTCTTTTCTGTGCCTAACATATGTTTTGCATGCAGGGATTTGAAATGAGTGAGCCAGCTGTTAGCCCAAACATCTGGTTTACTCATGGAAGGGTCCTCTAAGTCATCATTTGTATTCTTTAACTCATTAAGTCTCATTTTAATTAGTAATTTTTGTACTTTGTGTTTTTCCAAACATATTTGAGGTATTTAAAAACTTCAAAGAGGTACAAACACTGTGTTTTGGGGTTACAGAGTTTTTGGACTTGAACAACAAGTTCTGAAGTTCAAGTTCTCCATTGTAAACTAGATGTGCTGAGTGTGCCTGAGCTATGCCCAAGCAAATTTTTATAGCATTTCATTATTTTGTAATTTATACCCTACAAGATGAAAACTAACTTGAAAATAAATGTGTATCAATCTGGGTGTTTCGAAAACGAAGACCGAAGACCTAAGATGGGTCTTCATAATTACGAAAACAAAGACCCACTACGAAAACGAACACCCATCTTTGTTTTCGTACTACGAAAACGAAGACCCTAAAATATTTATTTACATTGTTTTCGCGAAAGTAAGCGTAAAAGTGTCGCGAAAAATTTCCAATAAGTTGCTGGAAAAAATTAAGGAATAATAATATGTTATAGTATATGTCAATATGATCAAGGAAAATACGATTCAGCAATAAAAATAGAATCACTAGAAACCTAAACCAGTATTCAGTAAATCACTCATGTATTTTTAATATAGTCAAAGGCAAACATCAGACAATTAAGAAATAACTAAATAATTTTAAAATGTAAAATGTTAACAACAGAATGTCAGAATTACAATTGCAAAATTTACAATGCTAACAAATATTCGACATGTATTTATTTAATTGCTGTATTATTGTCAATGTCTGGGACAAATCAGTTAAGTTTGAATCGGTAATACCACGGTCAATAGAACCACAGAGTATGTACATAGTATACACAGATGTCTCAGTGATTCAAGTTAATTTAGCGTAAGGCCAAAAAAAAAATGTGGGTTTCCAGTTTCTTCTTATAAAAACTTAGGTAGGGTAGGTCGGTTTTAACTTTTTTTTTAACTTTTTTTTTAAATTTTCCGAACAACCGTACACCATTTTGTTTAGTCAGTGCTTCCACATCCAAAGATAAATGTCCCTAATATTGCCTCAAATTTCAATTTTCCACAAAGTTTTTCCTCTAAGTGGAAACACTTACAAGCATGATCCAATAAAAAAGTTTAGGGTCTGGATTTCGACGTCTAAAAGCTAGGTAGGGTCGGGAAAACCGGAAACCCACATTTTTTTTTGGCCTAAGGGATTTTTCCAGTATGCACCCGTGTTCTTAGGAAGTGCCCTAAAGAGAGGTAGTCAACCCCCTGAAAACATATTGAAATTTAATCTTCCAGGGCCTCTTGCTAAGAACATGGCCACCAGCTATTTTGGTAAAAACTACCTTTTTTAATTATTACGGTTTTCCCTCAGAAGTGAGACCTCTGTATGTAAGTACTCTGTGATAAAACTGAGAGGTAATACCTAACTACGAAATATAAACATTAAGTTATATATTAATATTAATAAAATAAATAATTTGCCTTGTAATTAATTTCGCGACACTTTTACGCTTATTTTCGTGAAAACAATGTAAATAAATATTTTAGGGTCTTCGTTTTCGTAGTACGAAAACAAAGATGGGTCTCCGTTTTCATAGTGGGTCTTCGTTTTCGTAATTACGAAGAGCCATCTTAGGTTTTCGTAGGTCTTCGTTTTCGAAACACCCGTACCAATCCAGGAAACAAAAAATATTTCTCCACTTAGGCTATATAAAATAAATTCCTTGATTCTCATCGCTAAATTTTAAAAACTCCCAGGAGGTGGGAGGTTTATATTTTATGTCAAAATATGAAAAAAAAGTTTAAAATTTAAAAAATTGGAGAGGGAGGTCTTTTTATATTTGCCTTAAAGAATGCTATATAAGTGGATAATTGCACATGCGCTAATCAACATGCATAAGGGTCCACACAAATCGTTGTAATAAGGCTATAAGCCCATTTTTTCCTTCAGTATTCCAAGCATCCCTTAACATGTTGCAATATTAACGATAAAACAATTTTATATCACAAAAATTCCAATATAAAATATAAAAATAACTAAATCTCTGAAGATGCTCGGTCGGGCGGTTAATTTATATTTTATAACAAAATACAAAAATATATCAAGGCGGAAACCAAAATATCGTCGGGCGGTGATGAGAATCAAGGAATTTATTTTATATGGCCTTATGTTGGGTTATTGAATTATTGCCCTTCAATTGTTGGGTGTCATGAAGAAACAAAATATCAGAGACTTAAATTTACACAAACTAATAATTCTCACCCAAAAATCTAATGATATATTTAAGTGTGGGAGCTCATTTAAAATAGAATTGATTAATCATTTATCATTTTAACCCACTGCCAAATTTCAAGATTTTTTATAACATTGATCTTGAGATATGGGTATTTTTGTAAAAGTAGTTGACAGAAGTTGACAGTAACTAAAATTCGCCATTTTCCTTGCAACTTGGGGAGTGCCAATGTTGCAACAATCTGCAACCTAATGAGTTAATAGTTTCCAGAAGGAATTTGGGTCATTTTCAGAAACTCTAGTTCTTCTAGTTTTTTCATGAAAAAGTTTCTTCTTGCATTTTAGAGTGTTTTTATAAATCTTAAGTGTGACATGGTGTAACGGTTGTGCAAGCTCGATAATTCGAAACAATGACGATTTGCTTATGTTACGACGTGTTGTAATAAGATTCGAAGAAACAAAATGCGAGGATATATTTTACGGGCAACTTTAATATTCTTACACCATAACAATGTAAATGTTCAATAGAAATTCAAATCTCGAATGGTTACACGAATAGTTGTCTAAGACATCTAAGTCGTAAGTCGTCGTAAATTGAAATACAAATATATGAAAATACTAAGTTCATGCATTACATTCCGAACATTCCATAGCAAAAATAATTCCCTAAGAGAAATTAGTAACCTAGAAAAACGTGTTAACTAATACGTTTTAAACAAAGTATACAATAAATCTATATAAAACCAATCCACATAAAAAGCGCGGACATGCATTACATCTGTCGCATGCACATGCAAAACAAGAAAACAGAACAACATTGTCATGCAAATAGTACTTAAAAAACAACCAAAAAAATGGAAACTACTAAACTAACTAAGTAACAATTGTAAAAGATAAATTTAACATAACAGTACCGCTTTGTCAAGGCGATTGATGCACAAACCAAGTTGTCCAAACAGCTGGAATGACTACAAAAACTGGTTGGAAACATTACGAAAAATATAAGTACTAAGTTTTCTCGATGAATGTACATGACCAACTTGCCGAAAAACAAATTTTGTGCAAAACTTTACCTGTCCCAAATCGGAACTAGTTACTGCGTCATACTTAACCACTAACTGACTAAAAGGTTCCTGTTATTGTTCAATCGAGCTGAATGCCGCTACATGGCTCCCCTGAAATGTTAGCATTTCAAATCTGCATAACTATAAACTGTTCGATTATATATTAACTATAATTGTTGAATATTAAAAAGGATACAATAGGCTCTTCGACAAGGAATCAAACTTCATCCATCTTCTTCCTCCTGCAACAGCACCAACTTCTGAACAGGACGTTCCAGGAATCTTGCTGGTTTGGTACGTTTTCCCTTGGCATCAAGCGAACCATCAGCTACCATCAATGTGACCGAACGAACATGACCATCAGAACTTTAGTAAATCTCAACGACTTTCGCAAGCTGCCATTGATTCCTGGAAACTTGATCATCACGATGTCTCCTATCCTCGAGTTTCGTTTTGGCTTATTCCATTCCTGATGCTCTTGCAACGTTAGAAGATACTCTTTTCTCCAGTGAATCCAGAATTTGTTCTTAAGATGTTGAACCTGTCTCCATTGCCGTCTGCAATACATATCGGCCGATTGGAATTCTCCAGGTGGGGGTAAAAAAACTTTGGTTTTCATTGTTAAAAGGTGGTTCGGTGTCAATGTTATTGGAAAATCTATTATACAATTTATTAAATTTTCTCTCTTAACTTCATTATGTTTCAATTTCATTATATAATATGTCTGTAACTTAATTTCAATTTCATATATGTCTGTAACTGAAACTATATTATACTAAGAAATTAAATATGTAACTTTGAATTTTGACATGGGGTGGCCTCTTCACACAAGCTCTAAGCTTCTTGAGGTCTCCTCGCCGACTTTATTTTATTATAATATCTTGTAAATAGCAAATTTTGCAAATAAACCAAAAAAAAAAGAGAAAAGAATGGAGTAGGGGCTTTAGGATCGTTGATGGAATCTATGGTGAGGGGGCGAGTGTTTACGATAGCTTCATCTTCACACATAAATGTTCTGAGGGATTCATCATTCAACTGTATTCCGTTTATTTCAAGAATAGCTGACAACACATTGCGAACTGTACGCATTTGTCATTCCCAAACTCCACCCATGTGACTAGCTGAAGGAATGTTCATATTAAACTTGATCCAGTCGCAATTATTACATAACACTTCTTGGTGTATCTTATCTCGATCAAGCTCTCTCAAGGCGTCTTTAAGCTCTTTCTTGGCGCCAACAAAATTCGTACCTTGAGCACTATGTAGCACACTTAGAAATCTACGGAGTGCGTTGATAAAAAAATCTGTGTCTAAACTTGCAGCCACTTCGATGTGCGCACAGCTCCCGATGCCATACCCGTAAATAATATTCTGTATCTTTTCAATTCCTTATGACCTTCCTTGATGAGGAAGGGCCCAAAATAGTCAACCATGCAATTCGTGAATGTGGGTTCTAAACGATCAGGTGGCAACCCAGCCATATGTTGCTCTTGTACACTACCACATAATTTATGACAAGTAACGCATTCACTTATAACTCTAGAGACAGCTGATGAGGCGCCGAGAATCCACTAGCTCTGATTTCATTCAAGGTAATGCCTTTACCTTGATGTTGTACTCTGCTGTGATAATATCTTACAATCAATTTCGTTATATGACTATTCTGTGGTAAGACTGCTGGATGTATGCATTGACCAGTTAGATTTGCTAATTGAAGTCGACCACCTACTCAGACAATTTCGTCCGAATCTTTGTAACGATCTAACTTTACAATAATCATGAGCTCAGCCGGATGTAACTTTTCAACCGAGACAGGATTTGTTGTGACTTGCCTTACTCGCTTTGAATTCTTCATGTTCTCAGTCCGAGAAGAATGACAGTCTCTCTAACAAGCTTCGAAATGATGCTTCAACAACAGTTGCTAACAAGGAAACTTTCTTTACTTCTGGGTTGTTATCTGACAGGATTGAGGCTTGGTTTATCGTGTTCTTCATTTGTGTCCAATCTGCTTCGTCTTTGTACTCTGCTGTGATAATATCTTACAATCAATTTCGTTATATGACTATTCTGTGGTAAGACTGCTGGATGTATGCATTGACCAGTTAGATTTGCTAATTGAAGTCGACCACCTACTCAGACAATTTCGTCCGAATCTTTGTAACGATCTAACTTTACAATAATCATGAGCTCAGCCGGATGTAACTTTTCAACCGAGACAGGATTTGTTGTGACTTGCCTTACTCGCTTTGAATTCTTCATGTTCTCAGTCCGAGAAGAATGACAGTCTCTCTAACAAGCTTCGAAATGATGCTTCAACAACAGTTGCTAACAAGGAAACTTTCTTTACTTCTGGGTTGTTATCTGACAGGATTGAGGCTTGGTTTATCGTGTTCTTCATTTGTGTCCAATCTGCTTCGTCTTTGTACTCTGCTGTGATAATATCTTACAATCAATTTCGTTATATGACTATTCTGTGGTAAGACTGCTGGATGTATGCATTGACCAGTTAGATTTGCTAATTGAAGTCGACCACCTACTCAGACAATTTCGTCCGAATCTTTGTAACGATCTAACTTTACAATAATCATGAGCTCAGCCGGATGTAACTTTTAAACCGAGACAGGATTTGTTGTGACTTGCCTTACTCGCTTTGAATTCTTCATGTTCTCAGTCCGAGAAGAATGACAGTCTCTAACAAGCTTCGAAATGATGCTTCAACAACAGTTGCTAACAAGGAAACTTTCTTTACTTCTGGGTTGTTATCTGACAGGATTGAGGCTTGGTTTATCGTGTTCTTCATTTGTGTCCAATCTGCTTCGTCTTTCCAGAGGAAATTTGGCCCATTTATCCATTTGGAATTCATCAGCTGAGCTGGTCTCAAGCCACAAGAAACTTCATCTGCTGGATTTTGCTTCATGTCGACATACTTCCATTGATCTACTTGCTGAACTTGATTGGCAACAAACACATGAAACTGTCTGACTTCATTTCCTACTTGACTATCTGTCCAGAAGAACTTTTGAGTGATTAACATATCTAATTCTCGACGTAGCTGTTCATTGACCTTCACTATAACCCTTGAAACTCGCATCAGAGAAGTGATGCAGCTCGCATAATACGACTGGACCAAAATCTGTTGGTTTGTAGCAACATGGGATCAACAATGCTTCCAACTCCTTCAACTCTGACTTCCATTTGAGCCATCACATCCTGATCTCTTCTGGCACTGCATCATCCCAGCCCAGGTTTTGCTGACAGAGTTCTTGAAGAATTGCTTTTCCTTCTAAGAGAACTGGTGCAACAAAGCCTAGAGGATCGAATATTGAAATCACTGTTGAAATGATGCCTCTTCTTGTCTACGGTTGATCTTTGAAAGTAATGGTGAATTTAAAAACATCAGAGTTGATGGACCATTGAACTCCAAGTGCCAACTCCATTAGCTATGCCCCATGATCGAAATTCAGATTTCTTACATCTTCTGCATGATCAGCTTCCGAAATCCTTTTAAAGACCTTTTTACTGTTTGAAGTAAACTTATGAAGGTTGAATCCACCGTGATCACACATTTCTTTCACATCGTGTACCAGTTGTACAGCTTCTTCGACGGTAGGTGATGAGTTTAAACTATCGTCAGCATAGAAATTCCGGCGGAGAAATTCAGCTGCTGCCTCTCCAAGGGATTCTTCATTATCATCAGCTGCAGCCTTGAGGGCAAAATTCGAACAACCAGGCGATGACGCTGTGCCGAACAAGTGGACCGTCATCTGATATTTTGGGGATCTTTCGATGTAGAACCATTTTCCCACCACTGAAAAATGAAGGAAAACTCTATATTCCACTGGTACTTTCACTTGGTAGAACATTGCTTCGATATCACACATAATCGCAATAGGTTCACAATAAAATCTAAAGAGGACACCGGTCAAATTGTTTGTCCAGTCTGGTCCTTGCAACAGGTGGTTATTTAGGGATTCGTCTTGGAACTGAGCTTAGCAATCAAATGCAACACAGATCCTATTCGGTTTCTTGGGATGATAAACACCATGATGTGGAATATAGAATTGTACCATTTCTTTTGTTCTCTGGTAACCTTTCAGCGTAACCTCTTTTTATGACTTTATCCATAATATTTACGTAATCTTCTCGATATTTACTGTTTGACTCCAGTTGATTCTTTAGTGGTCTCAATCGATTCATGGCCATAATGCAATTGTTTGGAAGGTTGCATGGGTTGTCCTTCATGGACGGAGGGATCTCGTACCGTGCATCTTGGTGGCAAGTCTCCCTAGAAACTTTCGATCTTCTTTGGAAGGTGCTGCTTCTTCCTGTTCTCATTCAGAGAAGTCCAGCTCGAACATCCTGGCTACCTCTTTAGGAGTTATTATTTCCTTCATTCGGGTATCCAAGACGAACTTCCCTTCGAGTTTAGTACTTCCGATGTCTTAGTACTTGCAATTTCTAGTGACGATATCACCAGCCAAGTACCTTGTGTTTGCAGGTCCGATAATTCCCCAACGTAAACAAGTCTTGACTGCGTAAGGATCATCCTCTCGACCAGGGATAACTTCAAGGTTGCAAAGCCTTTGGACAGTTGCAGCCAATCAACATTCCAATCTCCATCCATCTCTTAGATGTTCCCACTTGCTTGCGATCTCAGGAGTTGGAATCTGCTCTTTTCTTGATGGAATTGTTTATCTGGAATAAGCCTTTGGGAGCGGTATTGGTGTTTCGCTTCTGGACAACAAGACCATCGATTCTTTGAACAGGGACACTGGTTTGATCATGCATGGTCTCAATTCCAGAAACGTTTCTGTTCCACTTATGCCGAGATCATTCAGAACCGACTCCTTAATGAATGTGGAATCGCTACCATTTATGAACTTCGACAGTTGGATATGGCTAGGGATTACTGGAACTAACATTGCAGTTATTATGTCAGTATACTTTGATGATCCAGACGCTGACTTTGGCTGTGTTTCCGGATTCACTATCTAAATCGGTTGGCAGATCTTTGTCAGGTGATTCTTGGGTGGGTGGTTTTATACCTTGCTTAGTGGCTTGTTTGGTCAAACGATGAGTAGGCTTAATGCCATGCAATAACGTTGGGTGTTGGCCTTACTACATTCCCCACACTTCATTCGTGATTTGCAACTGGATGACAAATGACCTTCTTAAAACACCCGGAACAGAGGCCTTGACTTAGAACAAACTCTTGTCTGTGATCAAGTGTTTTACTCTTAAATTCTGGACACTTTTCTAAGTTGTGACTGTTCGTACATACTGGGCACATTGGTACTTCCGCTCTATTATTATAATTATTATTTAATCAGAGATGTTTAGAATATTGTTCATTTTTTGTTCCTGAGTACGAGGGTAGCTTGGCACTCATCTGAATAAGTATTTGTGTAGGTAGAATCAAGTTCATTTAATGACCCTACGGTTTTTACAGCTTCTTGGCAGCAAATCAAAAAATCGGAAAAAGTGTGCAATCCCGCACTATATCTGTCCTTAATTGTCGACCAATTATGTAACCGAGACTTATAGGCCTCAGTATTCATTACAGCCTTCTATTCTATTATTTGTGACAACGTTTTATCCGACAACGATCGTCTTTATGTTTTAAATAAATACACTGTCAAACAGGCTAACAAAGTAGTGAAAGGTTTTTTAGCTGTTAATTCAGATAATGCCTATAAAGAGGCCCGGAAATTGCTTGATGATCATAATCCAAAATGATCATCAAGCAATTTCCGGGCCTCTTTATAGGCATTATCTGAATTAACAGCCAAAAACCTTTCACCACTTTGTTAGCCTGTTTGACAGTGTTTTATTTAAAACATAAAGACGATCGTTGTCGGATAAAACGTTATCACAAATAATAGAATAGAAGGCTGTAATGAATGCAGGATAGTCAAATGCATTTCCACTAAACGTTTGTGGTTCCTTAACTGGAAGGTGATTTGTTACGTGTTGCTTGGTTTATAATGCGCTTAACTCAGCTTGTCTTATTTGCACTTGAACTAATTGCTGTAAAGTGTGCATTATCGGTTCTGTGGTGATGATGGCGCAAAGCCAAATGCTAATGGTTGAGTGTATCCATATGGTCTTGGTAAATTAAGTGTTTCAGTCTCAGGCTTAGTGTTATACTTGGTATTATGACAGTCAACAGGCTTAGCCAAATAAGACAAGGAAAGGTGGCTTTGAGTGATCATCATGAATGCCAGCTTTATGCTTAGTATCTAAATTATTGTCATGAATACAAGAGACAAGATTAAATTGAATGTTCGACTTAGTTTTAGTGTGTTTTTCTTTTGTGTAGGCAGGTAACTCAATTTGCTTGCTGTCATTTGACATTTGGTCTTCCTCGATAATGCATTTGAAGGCCCTTTCTTCTGCGTCAGCTATTGAAGATTCTTTGAAAAGCTGAAGTGGATGCAACTCCCATTCATGGTACAGAAAGTCAATTTCAGCATGAAGTCTTTGACTTCAGACTTTGCAGCAGCTTCTAATCGCATTGAACATGCTGAACAGGAACTGGCCACACTTTCTGAGCTGCTATAAAATGTCTGACACACATTCTCTTTTGAAGTCTGGCTCTGAAAAACAATCGCTTTTTTTAGTTTGAAATAAGCCTTCATAAGGACTATTGTGTGGCAATGTTATCTATATACTCAACAAGCATTGAGCAGAGCGGTCACAATTTTTGAAGCTCCGTAAAAGATCTCGAAATTAGTGAATTAAGAGTTAAAATCTCGAATAAATATAATGGCTACGGCCACTAAAGCATTACGTAAAGAACATGAAGCCCTGAAAGAAGAAATCCAACAGATAATGACGAAATTACAACATCTAGAACAAAAATTTGAATCCATAAATGCCAGAGTCGACCAAATTTCCATGAGGTGTAACGATATAGCTAAATGTGTCGATGGAGGAGTATAGCTACCAATTTAATGTCAAAATTGTTGGTATGCCTCTAAAAGCAGAGAAGGAAAGCCCGGAAACGACGGCTAATCTCTGCTTACAACTGTTTGCAGCCCTGGGAGTTAAAGATATTTCATTACAAGACATTGATATAGCTCATCGAATGCCAGCACGCCGAGCATCTTCACACCCAAACTCCATAATCTGTAAATTTGTTTGGAGACTGGCAAAAAATAAAGTAATGGAGGCTAGAAAAGAAGTATCTAAACTGCAAGCTGTTCAACTTGGGTTCTCCTCAGGTATTCCTGTCGAACATGTTAATATTTATGATCATCTAACACCGCGTCTCCACACACTATAGTATGAAGCAAAACAATTTAGACAAGCCAACAACTACAAATTTTGTTGGGCTAAAAATGGCCAAGTTTATTTCCGCCAAACTGAGAATTCAAGTATTATCATGGTTTTTCTGCAGTTGCATGCGACCAAACGATAGATTAACAGACAGTAAACTGTGATGCAAAAACTAAGGGAGGCTTGATTGGTTTCTCATTGAATCGTGCTGCAGTGCATCGATGGCTTCTTCCACAGTCGGAGAGAGCGGCGATAACCAGCCAATGCAAGAGTTTAGCAGGAATGTAGTGCAAGCCCAAGGTATGTCCAAACAACACTCGTAAAAATTGCACATCCTTAATCGTGTTTAAATGGTTGTGCAATTTCAGTGTTTTTTTTTCTCTTAGAAAACGTAAAGACCTTGATCGTACTAAATGCGAGCGCTATCAGAAGTCGGTAGAAAATGTAATAACCACCTGTTTGACACAGAGCAAAAGAGCCTACTATCTTTAGCAAGTGGATTTGTTATTGAGGACAATGTTGCTGATAGTTTACTTGGAGCAGAACAGATTGGAGAGAATCAATTTTTAGATTTCGTTAAAAACAATTTGACTATTGAAGAACCAGATATCTTCCAAACAATTAAAAAAAACAAGCTCCCTACTATCCAGAATATGAAAGCAGGGATTAAAAACAGTGCCGGCAAAGAAACTGGACTCAAAATGAGTAGAAATTTGTTTGCAAGGCTTTTGCTCGTTGCTATGTCCTGTCTTACTGCCTTGGTGCATACCCCTTATCACTTGCCTCTGTGAGTGTTAGTCTTTTAAAGACGGCAAAGTCAAAATTGGCGGACATACTGAAATGTGAAAGCGGAAACCCGCATGTTGACATAACAGACATCCCAAATAATAATGCACTCATTGTAGATGCCATGGCTGTTGTGCAGTGCTTGAAAGGAAACTGGAAAACCTTTGGTGATTTTGCGGATTCAGTTTTCAATTTCCTCATGAAATTAGCTCATGATTGTCGTGCATTAAGACTAGATTTTGTCAAAGACCGGTATCCTGCTCTGAGTATCAAGAACACTGAGCAAGCCAGACGCACTACACAAG